ATTGTCTGGTCCAGACTCCATTATTTACAGACCACCGTCATTTTGCTGGGATATTGCTGAGCGCGGTGTTAAACAACAAACCAACCAATGTTTCATTCACAGCAAAGATGAATGCAATAAAAACGTTCTCGTTTTTTTAGTTGAATTGTGCCTAATTACTTAAAGTTCGTAATAAGCATCTTGTCTTGTTGGTATGCATGTTGTAGCATGCATGAATCTATTACAAAGAATATAAGGCTTGATAAGTTCACATCAAAAATTTTACTGGCCATTAAAATACGCGCTAATGCCTTTCAATTGTAAAACTGAGTTCTGGTACATGTATGATATACGTGTAAAAACGCCTCGAACACTCCAAATAAGAGGATGTGAGAGATGCGATGTGTTTTAGAGTATAGATATTCAATACTTTGGCACTATGTCACCGACGGTGTGAGGGCGAGTTGTTATTACTTGTGCATTTGTATACATTTCCAACAGTGGGTATACGTCAAACAAACTGCGTTTGTGTAAAATAGGTTCAGATAGGTCTTTTATCGTAACAGTAGGGTCTGCGGTTAAGTGACAAATATATGTTTGTTTTATAACAATGAACACGAGTAACTACACATCATTCCACACACACACACATAGTACAGTTGTACTGCAGTATCATTTAGTTGTTCAGTCAGCAATAGGGGTTGAATCTGGACCAGATTAAACAGTTGGTCGATAGCACGAACAACGATGAACGCCGCCATGATGGCGATGATACATTGTCGTAACATAACGGCTACACGATCACACTTCTCCGACACGAACTTGTACAGGGTCTGTTCGGCAAAGTATTCTTAGGATTGCTTCTGTAAATCTATAATATTCGTGGCGCTAAAATCGCTTTCTGTCCCATACTCCTAGCACGGCCGGTCCTGGTAAACTAGCAAGGATCGTCACTTCAATTTTAAAATGATTGGAAATATGCTCAGATTTATTGTATAGATGATTTGTCATACAGATTTAGTAAACGTTGTTGATGTATAGTGCAAAAAAGGTTAGGGATCATGATTTTTTTTTTGATTTTTAAAAAAAAAATTATTTTTTTTTTTTTTGGGGGGGGGGGGGGGGGGGGGATATATATGAAGTGAAGACTGAGCTGATCACTTGTTTTGTTCACAATAATACACTGATGTCAATGGAAATGCACATATACGATTTGTTCGATAAATGGACATATGCATGAACCTAACTGTGTAGCATGCAGAGATTTGTTTATATCAGTTCAATATCAGTTAAATGTTGTCCTATGTGTTTATGTTATGGTTACACTAGGTCTACCTTTGTAACGCCTCAAAGTGAGTTTGACCAATCAGAGAGCAGAACTACTAGCCGCATTGGAGCCCGTATACCCGTATAAGATGGTTGTTACTAACCTAATATGAGACCGTATACCGTCAGTAGCAGCCATTTTGGATTTTCCAACATCCGCCTCACATATGTCACATGAAAATTCTGGTACAGAAATTCGTCATTCGATTTTTGTGTGTTTTGATATCCTTAATTGTGATGTGCAGAGGCATGAAGTTTTAAAGAAACCAAGTTCGTGGCTTTATTCATGAAAATAAAAGAGAAAAAACGGAGGCCACTGATTTACCAATAGCAAGGTCATAGAACATAAGGATGACGTCACATAGTAATAGAATAGATAGCAGCCCGTGGTTAGGGAAAAGCGGAGTGCTATCAAGTTACAGTGGCCCGCAGAATTCTGATAACATTCGGGCATTTTTATTGTAATTCTATCCATTTTCGCTATAATTCTTGTTTCAACGTTCACATTAAGTGTTAGGTCTTTGAAAGGCATTTAGAAGTTATTCACATAAGGAAGAGAATATATGGATGTCAACTTCTTTATCATGAGGAACACAACGTTTCGGAGTATATGCTTACTCCTTCATCAGGTGAATGAATGCCACTTGGGACTTATTGCTTTGATCCTTGTCGTGGCAAATTGCCTAGCTGGCTTCAATTTGCCCCTTGCTACGTTGTTGCATTCATACACCTATCAGTGCTAATTCCCCCCACCCGCCATTTGCCCAGTGTCCACTTCCAATTACTTAGATATGAGTACTTAAGTGTTAGCTTCCATTGTCTATTGCTTATCAGCGCCAATCATCTGTTGGCTTCCTTTGTTAGCTTGTACCCTTTGTTAGTTTTCTCCTTTCGTTATCTTATTAATTTTGTTGTCCTTACATGTACATATATATGCTCTCTGCCTTATGGCATTCATTCACCTGATGAAGGAGTAAGCATACTCCGAAAAGCTGTGTTCCTCATAATAAAGAAGTTGACATCCACATATTCTCTTCCTCACATTTAGTGTGTTCACATTAAAGTGTTGTATCGGAAACATATGTACTGGTCCTGCCATTTATACCGGTTGAAAGTGTCCATTTTCATTTTGACATAACATGTGCGATAAAGATATCAAAGAATGTAAATATTTCGACCTAATATATTCGTTATGGTGTCTTCAGTTGCCGTATACTTTTATCATATTATCACGCCTCGCCCAATATATGCTAACATAATATGACACCATAGCTAAAGACACCATAAATAATAGTATCTGTTTATCAGTAGACGTGGCATCACGAGACTGAAGGTGGCGAAGAATTGAATGACTTAAACAGAATTACTCGAGATAACTAGTATTGATAGTCTTTACATGTCTAAAGCAAACTAGTCCTTGACGGAGTGTTTGTCCTCGCTGACGGGCCATAACGATCCCGTATTGACCAGATCAAAGTGGACACACAGTATTCTGTAAAATCAATCAGGCATATATACATGTGCCTCAATGGGAGTAGGCGTATGCCCTTTAGGCAACATGTGTTCGCGTGCGAGATAAAATGTAACACATCTTGTTAACATATTCTTGATGTATCACTTCAATTTATTTCTTCGATCGAGATAAAACACGCTTATGTCAAAGTTGTCAATCAAAATGATACGTTCAATAAATTGTCAACATGCTCTGTGTTACATACACTTCATGGCAAAACGACTGTACTCTTTTCCTGACAGTGAAATGTAAGCCTATGAACATATTTACATCCATGTATGTGTGTGTGTGTGTTTGATCACTGTCATGACTGTATTTGAAGGATTTGTATTTATCGGCCACAACGTTCAATATGTATGTTGCATTGCTACTTAAGAACAATGATTTCCCTTCAGACATTTATATTAATTTAAAAAGTAAATCTCATTATCATAGAGAAACAATACAATATTTGAAAGCATAAATATTCTCAAAAGATAATATTCTATATTTTAGCACAATACATTTTTCCCATACTATATGCCCTATCGCCTCTTATCCGATCGATGTAATTGTACATTAGATGTTCCCAACATCTTTTCGTACATGTACATGTATGACTCTTAATGGAACATAACTCTCGTGTGGGCCTGGAACATATATAATTCGGTTAGACATTATACATTAAATAGCATGTGGCATGAATCAAAATGCTTTTGTATGAGGGTAGAGTGTCTCTGTAGAATTGAATCTTAATGGAACTTGTTACAAAACCATATTTTCGTTCATAAATGACCTTTTCTACTCCTTCTCTTATTTCTTATTTCCCTGGTTTCGCTCCTGTGTCCTAAATGGATGGACATCATGGCGTAATTGCTTGTAATATAGGGCGGCGCGGTGGACCCAGTAATTCCTGGTCATATCACGTACGTCGCTAATGTGTTACTGGAGAGTAAGATGATAAAACTGAGACAACAAAGGCATGCTAGTCACGGAACATGGGATCCAAGGGACCACCGTATTAGAACAGTAATGTAGATTTTCCGTGAAGTATTCACAAATCGTGTCAGCTCTCGCGAATGTAATTGCTTCTTCCGGCACACGTTTAATGCATTCATAGCTCAATAATTGGGTTTCCAGCATCCATGTTTACATGGTTATTGTCCTTCTGTATGTATATATATATATCATTTATGGTATATGGAGGCCTTTTCTAACACTTGAAACTGGATTAATACAACATTAAGCGATGGGTGGACAACTAGCTTCAGGGTGCGACCGTCAGACCAAGACTCCCTGTTCAACATGGGTACGACATTTGCAACCTGTTCTTTGGTTATATTTCTAGAATGTGATTGCGCTTTGATGGTTCGGAGTGGAGACCATTGCACTTTGTTATATCTAACTACCAAGTCCCTTTTTAAACAAACACTTGCACCGTTTCATTACCGTTTGATATGTCATCCTCCATTGTTCAAAGTATTATGTGTATCTGTATCTATGTTAAATATTCGACATCCCTGTTCCCGCTTCAAAAGTTTAGTTTTGTGGTGTAGATGGCGACATCAGTTCCGAAACAAAGCTATTGTGAGTCCAGGGTATTTATGATCAAAGCGAGTGAGTGATTTTCATGTCACGCATTCATATCACGGCGTGTCAGCTTGGTGTTCGGAGAAAGCCCGACGTAATGCAGGTCTTAGACATTTACCATTTTGGTGAAGCCAACGGAAACGTGACTGATGTTGAAAAACCTAGAAAGATAATCAGGTCAAACCTCTATTAATACTCTTGATCAGAGGTTTCTGGCACGCCTATGGGATGCAGCTCTGCACAGCGAATTGCGGCGCTTCAGACGACTTGACCCCCGTACCATCATTACTATACCAAACTTGAGATACAATACAATGAATTATCGAGGATGTAGATATGCTTACTCATATCAATAACGTAAAGAATGAAAGCATGAATACATTGGAGTGAGTGAGTGAGTATGGTTTTACGCCGCTTTTAGCAAACTTCCAGCAATATCACGGCGGGGGACACCAGAAATGGGCTTCACACATTGTACCCATGTCGGGAATCGAACCCAGGTCTTCGGCGTGACGAGCGAACGCTTTAACCACCAGGCTACCCGACCGCCCCGAATACATTGAAAGACATATATAGCTATAGTTATATAATTCATGGCAATTGTTTGTTTCAGGTTCGTGGCGATAGTGTTTCCAATTAAGGCCCATATTGTGTGTACCCGGAAGAAGATCCTGTGCGTCATAGCGTTCATTTGGCCCGTTGCGATAGGCTGTGGACTGCCGACATTACTCTTCAACCAAGTCAAGCCAGTAGCTCCGGGACTTTCATTGTGTCAGATCATCTTTCCAGGGAATAACTTCCAATTCTTTATTATTTTCAAATATCTTGAATCGGTGTTATTTTACTTTCTGCCAATGGTGATACAAATAGTTCTGTACGCTGTGATAGGTCGAAGGTTGTACGCAAGTACAGAGGAACTGAACACTCGATTCCAGATGCGTCCAGACGCACACTCGAAAACAGAAAGATCTGCTGACACAATAAAGGCACGTAAGGGCGTTGTGAAGATGCTGATAGCAAGTGTGCTTATTTATTTCATCAGCTACTCGCCTCAACAAATACACCTTTTATACAACACGTTCTCGAGAACTCCGTTTCCACAAAGTTGGCCATTCCTTGTTTTTGTTATGATCATAACCCACGTGAATTCAGCAGCTAACCCTGTGCTTTATAGCATATTTAGCCAGAACTTCCGCCGGAACTTCAAGCGATGTCTGTGTTTTATTTGCTATCGGATGGAGCGGAAGGCATACCGGAGGACAAGGTTTGATTCCTTCGACTCACGTGCTGTTTCCAGAAGAAACAGCACATCTCGCACCACTATGTCTAGAGTGTAGATTTCATGTGGCCCTGATTGTACATAACTGGAAATTGGAGGACACATCTTCAAGACAACACAATGAGATCTGATGGTGTATACTGTTGTGTTATTACCATCTACAAAGCACAACGATAAATAGGTCAGAGTGCTTGAGTTAACACCATTTGTCGGCAGGGATGGTGAGAGTAATGTGTAAAGTTATATCATGAGAAATATGTTGATCTTGTTTGTTGAATGATTTCTTTAAAGTTCGGTTATATCATAAGAAATACTTTGATCTTTGAAGTCGGGTTGGTTCATGCTAACGAAATGGAATTAACTTATAATAATTACAGTGCAATATTCGGCCAATATTATAGCTGTTGTGTTATAGCTGATTCACAAGCACACTTCATGTACAACGTTAAAATGTGAATCTAAAGATTAACTTTAATGATGCATCTAAAAAGTCATCAATTTTGTTTTGTTTGTCTAGTTATGAATGTGAAATTGTATATTTTTGTGCTTTTTTAGGCACCCGAATCGTAACTGACGCTCTTATGAAATATAGCCTCGTGTTATTACAAAATATTTTTTTTCTGACATGTGCTTTTGCTTTGAGATGAGCAAATTTATAAAAGTAAACAAAACTTTCAAACGTGTATTGTCCTGTATTATATAAATATCTGCTCGAATATTCTCGGCCGCAATATTATTTTTCTGGGAATGACAAACATTAACAGACATCATGACTTAACAATATGTTCAAATTTGTACATATTAACTGTGATATAAACAACTTTTGGCATACGACATTATAAACATGTTTATATTGGGTAAATTTATCAAAGTAGATGCCTCACATGTGCGACTAAATTGATAAATGCAGTGTTTGATAATAGTCATACAAACAGGATTAATTTCCCATTGACGTCACTGATACCAATAGCCGCCAATGTGTCCGTCTGCATTAATTTTGTTTCGTTTGACGTTCACGTTTTAACGATGCTACAGTAAAACGGTTTTCAGCGATGTTTTGTTATTTCAGCGACATTTCGTGTCAGAGCATTAGGCATATACGATAAGTTCCGAGTCTCGCATGGAAGCAATTGCGTAATAGTAGCATCGTATGTTATGGACATTACATGGTGTCATATAGATATGTCCACACAATTGAGCAACTTATTTCGCTGTGACAGGTCAGTAAAATAAGCATAGATCTGTGACCTTTTGGAGACAGGACAAACAAGAGGAAGGTGCAGTGATCAAGTGCTTTCCAGAAAAAGGGCTGAAAATTAAATGCCGTCCATTAAGATATGAGTACAACACAATGGTAGGATGCCTCTTCCAATGCCACCGTAAGAAAGTGGGATCACAGTTTAAGTGTGGCAGGGACAGCCTTGAAGACGACCCCCGTCCGGGAAGGACTGTCACGCCAGCAACACCGGAAATGATCCCGACAATCCACGATATGATGATGACCGACGGACGAATGACTGAGGGTCATATTGCTAATTTCCTTGGGGAAAATACATTCCATTATCACATTAACTTTGGCAATGAAGAAAGTATCAGCTCGTTGGGTTCCAATGCTTCTGACCTCTGAGAAATAAACATACCAGGCTTCACATGTCTCGTGACAATCTAGCTATGTTTGAAGCTGACCCTGAAAGGTTCTTTCTACGATTTGTGAATATGGATAAAATCGAGGTTCAACACTTCCGGCCTGACTCCAAACAACGACAAGAACAGAGGAAGCATTTGACATCATCATATCAGCTGTAAAGGTTATGACATCCTACTTCTTAGTTGTCGAAGATGTCATCATGACTGACTATCTTCCAAAAGGCAGACAAAAGCGGAATATATTATGCTGCACTTTTGAGATGACGGGATGAAATTAGGACTAAGAGACGTTGGAAGCTGAGAAAAGGAAAAGCTCTTTCATCAGGACAATGCGCCAGTGAATACATCCGTCACTGACATGGTTACAACCCACGAGTGTGGCTATGCTTTCCTTCAGCACCCACCTTATTCTCTTGATCTGGTTTCATCAGACTTCCATCTATTCTCAAACATGAAGCAAGCACTAACCGGAACCCTCTCGAATGATGAGGTCATAGCAGTTGTGGGGAACTTTTGGACCAACCAAGTGGACTTTTGCGAACTGCGATAACATCCCTTCAAATCGCTGACAAAAGTGTATTACTGTGGAAAAGAATTTAGTTGAAAAATAGATCATTTAATGTCTTTTCCTGAAGACTTTCTATGCGAGGCTCAGAACTTATCAATCACCCTAGTTGATTACATAATGGTGTATCAATTTCCTGATTAGCATGAAATGCATGAACTTGCCTATTATAGGCGTCCAATGACACACAATTAGCCAAGTCATAGAGCCTGACCAACCGATCCATTTGTGAGTGAGTTTGATGTAACGACACTTTGAACATTAATTTAGGTCAATCACGGCGTGGCAGCTTAATGTAGGAAAAAAGCTCGAATGATGCACGACTAAGATGTTAACACTTTAATGAAACCCACGAACAAGACATGGTACTGACATTTTTAGAAATTTTATCAGAGTAAACCAGGGTTCGAACCAACGATAATTGGCTTCTGGTACGCCATCGGGATGCTCAGCGAAACGCAGCGGCGTAGACGAATGAGCCACCCAATTTCAACCAGGCACCCCCACAAGTCAAAATACCATTTATGATTAACATGTACTTTTAGAAACATAAGAGTGACTCCAAAGCATTTTACCAGCGAAATTAACGTGTGGTTTCAGTGCGTCTGTATAATTAGCATCCTCAAAGCTTTCGGTTATTGCTCACAATTTCAATGTAACACTGTTTTGAGGGGAAGAGATAGAATGAAATTAAAGTTCCCTCATTCCGTATGTATGCAGGTTCGCATAAAATAATGAAGTGCGTCCAAATGGCCGAATAAATATATAATTTCTATTATTCATCACTTGCTTACACAGACATATTTTCCAATTCATTATTAGCCGGATCAGGAAGGATCTAATTCCAAATATGAAAGGTAGTAAGTCATTGGACTTTATACAGAATATATACGTGTTGATATTGGACAATTCCAAACCATCCTTTCAGTCCATTAATGAATTGACATGTGTCTCAATGACGCTCGGCCTACATAGTATACATCCGCCTGGGGAATCGTGAATAATCTTTTCAATCGATATTCAAAGACTGGGCGCCTTATGTAAGTTCTAGTATTCGCTGGGGGCACGGGTGGCCCAGTCGTCTAAGGCGCCGCGATTCGCTGTGCAGAGTTGCGCCCCTTGGGCACGCCAGAAACCTATGATTGTGGGTTCGAATCCCGGTTCGCCCCAATTATGTTTCTAGGTTTGTCAGCACCATACCCGTGCTCGTGGGTTTCACCGAAGTGGTAAACGTCTGAGACCTACATCGCTTCGGGCTTTCCTCCCACATTAAGCTCACACGCCGTGATATAACTGGAATACTGTTAAAAGCGGCGTTAAACCCAACTCACTCACTCACTCACTCACTCTAGTATTCGCTATTGGGTCTTATGATTAATACCTTACATCAGAGCAAGTAGGTCATTAGGCTGATTTAAATGTGTCTCCTGTCTCGGTGTTTCCCTGAATAAAATACTTACGCTGACAATTATCCACGTTAATTTACTGGTAATACATCCATGAAATGATTCAATGTTCCACAATGACACAATAGCACAATTTCACCCGAGACCAACATTCTAGCAAATGCACGGTCGAACATCTATTATCTAGTCCAGACATGCTTTGAAGTCTCATTGCATTGATAACGTCAGTTCTGGGGGTCTCGCCAGCCACAGCAACCCCAAAATGGACATTGCTGTCACGTCCATGGGGATACACACCGGTCATTATTTGCCATTCTTCCAATTAATGCCATAAACGTTTCCAACACCACATTCAGGCTGGTTTCTATTTATACCACACCTTTATTTTGAAAAGTAAGGCCTGGCCCAGAGCCTGAGGAAACCATGGAAATCGGAGTTTGTGTTATGACAAAAGTTTGTATAGTATGTGAACATACAGCACTGGATCCTCGTTAGTCTGTTTGGTTGGTTGTGTAACGCCGCACTCAGCAATATTCCAGCTATATGACGGCGGTCTGTAAATTATCGAGTCTGGACCAGACAATCCAGTGACTGACGCCATGAGCATCGATCCACGCAATCGGGATTGATGACATGCATCAACCAAGTCAGCAAAACTGACCACCCGATCCCGTTAGTCGCCTCTTACGACAAGCATAGTCGCCTGTTACGCCAAACATGGGTTGCTGAAGACCTATTCTACCCCGGATCTTCACGGGTCCGTCTGGACCGACTTCCCCGGACGATAGAAGCTCCTACCAATATGTTTATGGAAATATTTATCCGTCATGGGATCCGTTAATCTAAAAGATTATTTTATCAGTAAGCGTAAGGCCCTCAAGGGTACACAGCGTTAAATGGGGCTACCTTTGTTTCATCCGAAAGGCTTGTGTCACGAGTTGCTAAACACGTGGCGAACGGGTTGCACACCCGTGTTCATCGCGTTGCACACTGGTGTCACACGATTGACGGATGGGTTCCACACGATTTGCGTAACGCGTTGCAAGGGGAATGGACTTCTAGGTCTATGTAGCCTAGTGGTTAAAAGGTCCCTTTGCCACGCGAAAGGCCTAGGTTCGATTGCTAACACGATTACGATGTGTGATGCTCATTTCCTGTGGCCCCCGATGCAGGAATATAACTAAGAGCTCACTCACTCACTCATTAATGATTAGGTCTTCAGCAACTGTGCTTTTCGTGAGAGGCGACTAACGGGGTCGGGTGGTCAGGCTCGCTGACTTTGTTGGTGCATGTCAACGATCCCAATTGCGTGGATCGATGCTTATGATGTCAATCACTTGATTGTCTGGTCCAGACTCGATTAATTATAGACCGCCGTCATGTAGCTTGAATATTGCTGAGTACGGCGTTAAACAAAAAAAAAATCATTATTGATTAAAATTTCAACAAGTTTGATTCCTTCTATCACGCTTGTCGTGAATAGTTGATTGCAAGAACCTTCAAGATTGATATAGTTGTGGAATATTTCGTCACTCTTTCACTCCCTATATTACCACGCACCATTTGACATAATCAATCTTAATAATCAATAATTAGCTCTGAACTGTGTCTTCGCTCGCAAAAATACGTATTATTGCAACCTTTTGATAGGCTGCTTTGAAAGAGAACTACAAACGACATTCCCCCACAGCAATATTATGTGGAAAAAAGTTTTCCATAATCATAAGAATGAGTGAGTTGGATGTGTGAGACATCTGAGCGTATCCTGATCCACCGGTGGCACGCGTCACAAGCACATACAAAGGCACGTCAATTGTTCACCTGACAAAATGGTTCAAGTGAAATTAAGGAATTGCATCGGACACCATTTTTTGTCAAATTCGGAAATGTCTTCCACATGTTTACCATGAAACCTTTTGAAATCTTCACCCTGATCAAATAACTTTTGAGTCATCTGAGGCTCTTTGAAACCTTCGTGGAAGGTCGTTTTGACATCAAGACACCAAAGGCTGGAGCTGCTGGAATATTGCTCGACGTAAAGGGAAAGTTAACTTTTGGAAAGTTGAAGTCATCCCTCTTGCCATACAGTCTTGTGGAGAGTGTATTTGTCACCTTGAATCTTTATGCACAGGGTTAAATATGAAACAGATGAGGCGGTTGCACTGGTCTCTTATATTTCTAGATCAGGTGGGTAAATGACTGTTATTGAACGATATCATAGCATCTAAAGTTTACGTTAAACTTCTTGGACACATTTAAAACCTTGAGAGAGCCTACTTATTCTTAAATTTGTTATCATTGAGGAAGTCTATCATTATACTTGTTTTCTCTGAAAACTTCAGATGATATTTGTTTTCATTTTTGACAAATTGTACCCCATCTCTACAAAAACTAAATATTAATTGTTATCTCTCATAATAATCAATACAAATTTAAAATGGTAGCCAGCTCTTTTTCTTACATATTTCATACATTTAAGACATACTTTAAGTCAATCTATCGCCACAATGAAGCGATGCCAGAGAGACTATTAGACTGAAAGTCTAAAGACAAGGTGTTGTATATTTTCTAAAAAAAACGTTAAAATGAGTAATTCTCATTCTAAGTTCGGGCGTTCGATGCCCGGCCGCATTATACCAAAAAACATACGTTAAAGGAATGTACTTGTTACCCTGCCTGGCGCCCGGCATTAAGTGGCTAAAACAGGACTGGTCGGCTCAGAGTGAGCATACTGTGTCTGAGTGGGGTATTCATGTTAAACTGCAGCATGTGATTTCAGTTTGCTAGCACTATAACATGGGCATTAGTCAGGACTAGTACAAGCAGCCACACACACACACACACACACACACACACACACACACGTGCATGCACGTCACATTATAAGTGCAATAACCATAAAACGCGACGTTAAACTCCACATCACCTCCCCTAATGTTGGGACATAGGGCAAAAGTGAAAGTAGTACACGAACGTCATCGAATTCAAGATGTCTAATACGTAAATGCGAAAGTTTTCTCCCTTTACTAAAGATATACGATACTAACATATAAATTATGTTTTCTTAGAGACGAACCTTTTATCTACAGATGGCCGGAGAACAGTTTTAAGACAGTCCCTTTGTCGTGGGTTTCGCAATGTGATTGCAGTGTTGAGTTTGTCAGTTGGTCGTCCAAGTCCATATTTCGCCCGGTTATTTAATAGTCTGTTAGTTGTCAACACTATGTGTATGCTCGTGGGGTTGACAAAAGAAGTAGATGTGCCAAAATCAGAGATGTTGTTCAATGCGGCGATTCGGGAAACGTGAATAAAATTCATTTTTATGTGACAGCATGTCATTTATTGTTTAACAAAAACATTTAAAAAACAAATGAAGCCTGGCGATTTATGGTTGTCAAAAGTTGTCAACTAACCTAACCAATATGAAGCGAGATGGAAAGTCTTTGTTCTTGTGGATACCAGTACACGCTACAAGTTTACGTTTCTATGTTCCCCATGTCCCCCATGTCCCCAATTCGGACACTGAAACAAAAATATCCGAAATCTCCCAAGCAAATCTACAATACTTTTGGAAATCTAGATGTCTCCAGCTTCTCTGCAATACATTTATTTCAGGAACTCAATGTTTAATTTCATTAGCTCTATATTCCTATATGGACTGAGGTCCCTGAATTTTATCATTACCTCTTTTCAGGAAGCGCCAGAACTTAATGTGCCACCGTGACAAGTATCATCTGATACAAATAGGCAACCCTTAAAGCAGTACTTAAGGACCGGTATCTAAGATATTTCGGTATACGGACTTAGTGTTCCTGGGAGCGGATCTTAATGTAAAAGGAATGGTAATGCAGCGATTGATCTAACCCTCGTTCATCTGAAGGAAAGTACAGATAACTACATTTATTCAAGAAAATTGGTCTGTTTCA